AAAGTTCAACATATTATAAACTTAGGGGGTTCAACAAAATGTTTTTAAGCTGACATAATTAGCTCTAATTATACCCTAGAAATTTCGTAAAAGCATTTTAACCACTTTTTTACATATATAAATTGTAAATCTGTAAATCGTTCCACTAATGTATTATCAATCGATACCCTGCAGCAAGTAAATGTCGTAAAGATCAACAGCGCTGGTACGGTTATCTCGACACACACGGCTAGCGCACAGACACATGGAAATTCTGTGCCGACAATCATTCAAAGCACCAACAATCAACACATAACAACCACCGCAACACTCCCGGCATCGACTAAGATCGAAATTTGTACTGCACCCGTACAAACAACCAACCAGGCACAGCAAGCAAATGTCGCGGCCGCGCAGAATATTGCAAACGCGCAGGTTTGCATCGAACCGCTGACTTTGGGCGATGTTGATGTTCGTACTAACAAACAAGTAGCAATTACCGAAGATGCGATTTTTGATGTTGTGCGCCTTTCGTTATTCCTTATTGCTTTCTTTAGTTCCATTGTTTAGCTTTGGCTATTTTTATGTTATTGCATTATTAACAAATGACAATTTTTTACCCCCCCCCCCTTTTGTTCAGCCTATTAAGAAATTTACTTAATATTTATTAAAGCATTTGTGTTTTTTTGTAGCTCAGAGTTTTTATTATTATTTATCTTGGTTGCACTCATAAACCCACAAATTAGCCATATTAGGCAACTTTTTTGAGCTTGGTTTCATTTTCATTTACAGTATTCCACGCAAACAGTGCTTTCTACAATACAAAATGCTGACGGCACAGTGTCTCTCATTCAAGTGGATCCAAATAATCCAATAATAACTCTACCCGATGGTACAACGGCACAAGTGCAAGGAGTGGCTACGGTATGTTCATACTAATTAAAATATTTCAATGTGTCATGTGACATTATATTGCAGCTGCATCAAGGTGAAGGCGGTGCTACTATACAGACTGTACAGAGTTTGGGCGATGTCAACGGTCATGAAAATATGACTGTCGATTTGACAGAGGCGACAGTGGCTCAGGATGGTCAGATATATATTACTGCTGAGGATGGTCAAGGTATGGGTTATGCAGATTACGATAACTTACATATACATACATCTACCATCAAATTATCCTAAAAGCTCAACTTCACAATATGCATGCAATACGATTAAGAGTGAAGGAAGTGAAGTGAATGAAGCTTTGCTGTATTAAAATCTTCCCTAAATTTTAGGAAACTATTTATATGTATTGAATATACGGAAATACATATTGAAAAAGTTTAATTGTGGTTTTACCATTTTATTTTCCCCCAGGTTACCCTGTGTCTGTGAGCAACATGATAACCGTGCCAGTTTCCGCCTCAATGTATCAATCCATGATGGCCAACATACAACAAATTCATACGAATGGTGATGGCACAGTGTGCATCACACCAATGCAGGTAGATTCTCATGCCAATAGTAGCAATAGTAGAAGCAACAATAACAAAATGAATAATACCAACAATAGTAGAAATCACTATCAATGTTATACTTTAACAGCAGCGCCTGGTGGGCTGGGTGCGCGCTTAATTGCAACAGCTCCAACTTCAGCCTTGCCATCGACTGTAAATCAAAGCCAAACAAATATAGCCAATAATAATGCAACAAATTGCCAAATATTTAATCAGTCTAATTTAAGTAATACCCCTTCTAGTCAAAGCAGCCGCGCCGACCACAACCAGCACCATCATCAACGTCAGCAGCAATTGCAGGCCATTCCGGCTGCTGCGAAAATTTTCATCAACGCCGCTAGCTTTGCCACTGTTAACAATAATAACTCCATTAGCACTAACAATAATAATAAATTCGGAAATATAGCCACTGCAGCTGCCGTGTTGCCACTATCATTACCAATTATGGTAGCCACAGCCGGCCTTCCTGCAACAGTCAGTAATGCAAGTGTTGGCGACACTAATCGGTCCGGGCCAGCTTTGACCGGAGGCGATGCTGATACGAGTTCCTCTAAAACCACGACCACTTCTACTATTCGGAAAAGGGGGGCAAACAAGCGCCGCAAACAAACTTTCGCCAAAGTTTCGCCCGTTAAACTTGAAAGTAGTGGCGATTCCAGTGGCGAAACGCTACTACCGTCCAATTTACAATTTTTAGATGAGGAAGCAGATGGACAAGAAATTAGTGTGCAGGAAATCGCAACGGATGCTGGAGATGGTGCTGGCGATGGTAGAGGCTCTGAGGCAAATAGAGGCACATTGAGCGTCTCTAAAAAAATTATAAAAATAGAAAATTTAGAGAACTAATAAAAAAGTAAAAAATGCAACTGGTGATTGTATAAAATGCACCCTATTTTAAAACGGTGTTGTTGAAGTGCTTGCATTTCAAAAAAAAAAAAAAGTTTATATATGTATACATATATGTATATTAATAAAAACACGCATACAATTTGTATCTAGTCAACATACATAATTACCAAACTGCAAACACTAAGTAGGCGCACATAAAACTAGGTTTAGTGTTGATAAATGTAAAATGGTTAACAATTTCTAAATTAACCGCGAAGTACCTTTTGAAATTTCAAAATAGTGATCGAAGTCCCATGAGTCCGAAATGAATTATGAACATTTTGAATTCGGATTCGATTTGCTTCAAATTGTAGCATTTGGGAACATACTTGCCATTGTTGTTTAATTTTGTTTGTTACATTTTTTGTTTGTTACTACGTAGTTCAATTTAATTTACATTTATGATTTGAATGTAATTATACACTTCGCATTGCATAAAATTGTTGCAAATCTTCTTTTTTATTGTATTTTTTCATATGTATATTAAAGTATACATACATCTACACATACATATAAGCACATACATATGTATATATATGCTTTTATTGATTAAATTCGTAGATTTTAAGTTGCTTACACTTACCATTTAACGTTTAATTTTTAATTAGTAACCAAAGCTTATGTAACGAACCCACATTTAAATGAAAATTAGAAATGTTCCTAGCGTATATGTATAATAACATAAAAAAAAACGAATTGATCGTTAATGAACCCACTTGCTAATGTGAAACAAAACCAAAAATTAATTTAGATGATTAGTCATTGTATTCTATATATGTATGCATGTATGAATATATATATATCATATTTAATATATTTTCGAACATCTCAAATGCTAGGAAAAAATATATATGTAGGCTGTTAAGATGTGTAATCTAGTATAAAAAAAAACTTAGAAGCTTTAAAACCTTCCCGCCGTTAAAGCATTAAAAAAATGTTTCAAAATACAAATAGCAAACATACTTATACATATTCTACCCTACCTACATTTAGTTCATACACTCTTGAAATTTTTTGCTGCATACTTTTGCACTACTAACATTTTTACAGATATAAGATGAGATGAAAAATCTGCACAATTTAGAGCGTTTAAAGTACAAAACCGCGTGTTAAGTTAATGCTAAACCTCGTATATGAGGTGTCTTATTTCTAAATGGTTCTCTCTTTTATCCCTAATTATCTCTACCTTTTATTTAAATATCTATATTTTGGTATGAATGGATAAAGCTCGATCCAGAAGCTTCCGATGAGCAAATCTCATTTTTGGTACAAATGTCAGTTGCGAGGTTTTGCGGAACCACGATACGTGGTGTTGCACTTTAAACGACAATTTGCATAAAACAAAAAAAAAATCAAATAAAAATAAGAAAGTCTTCTTCACTCAATAACATAGGCTGACTTTAAAACTGTAATATCAATGAATACGTCAAAAGCATCATGCCCCTTTCACACGCTTCGGTTCCTGGTTACGCGGTGGTCGAATTGCCGGCGCAAAATATATGCAACCGAAAACCGGCATGTGTGAAAGCAAAAAAAATTGCTGAACATAAGTTTTGCTCTGGTCAACCGGCCCGGGTAACTGGAAACGGCATTAAGAGTATTTTTTAACTATGCGTTGTGTTTTAAAATATGTTGAGCTGGTAGTCACAGCGCATCTGGCAAGTAAACACGGCACCACTAATAAAGTTGGATGTTTATTTGCCGTGCGAGGAAGATGAGAATGAGACAGAACAAATGTCAAATATGTCAACGTACATAAAAAGTGTTATTAACGTAAAAATTAACCTTCCATATTTTTGCCTTGATTCCAACTTCGTTGTATGAACACCGCAGTCAAACTGTATATGTATACCCTAAATTTAGCATTTCCATCTTGTGTCATTATAATTTGCTCTTGTAGAACTTTTTTTTCGCATTGGCCCCTTTGTCACATAGAAAAAATTTCATCAAAAACCATTTAACAAAAATTTCAAGAACATATGTGCATTTCCCAAAAAACGTAAACCGAAAATGCAAGTAAATGAATTCAAACGGTTTTATAACTTTAAAGAACTGAAAAAATTAAATAAAAAATTAAATTTAGTATGTGTTACTAGTAAAAATATTGTATGGGAGAAAAATATGTCACGTCCGATATGTCACGTCCGTTACCAGATTTTAATTCAAAATTAAATCAACAACGAATTGCTCCTGATTAAAAATAAATTGGTTGTAACGGCCCATAATTTGACTTTATTTAAAGAAGGTTTAATAAAGGGAACCTTACAGGATTCGCTGAGTTTTGCTTATTTTTACATGTACTCTGAAATCACTTCTGTTTTTGTTATGCTCTCCTTTTCATCGATTTTCTCGACGTGAGTGTTCCAAGCGCACCTAATTTTTTTGTCAATCAAGGGACGGTATAAAAGCTACCCAACGCAAATTTTTTTCACAAGTGACTTCAGTTTTCGTATGATTTATTTAACTTTAAAGTCGTATGATTGTCGCGTCCGTAATCCAGGATATGCCCATATGTATATGAACAAAAATTTGAAAAAAAGTGTATGAACTATATAAATATATTTCAATATTAAAGTACGAATTTAAATATATGCATATATGTACATAGTATCTACAATCATACATATGCCATGATACAGTTTCCACCTTCTTAAAGCAATTATTGTCACACTTCCTGCGAATGAAATATTACATAAATTACTTTTGCTATGAATATCTTAGCGACCTACTAAAAGTGCAATTTTGTATAGTAATGGGCCTTGATAGTAATAAAAACACCGTAGAGAACAATTAACTGTAAACTTTCTCCTGCTTACAAATTAAAAATAACATAGAAAATTCAATTGAAACTTGTTTCAAGTGGTACTGTTTCACACGCTCCTTTTACCGCACAGCCAGATTGCTGGCTCAAAGTGTATGTGAAGTTCTGAGGGCTTTCACACAAGCCGGCCCCCTGTGTGCGGGCAAACCGGCTGCCGGCTATGAAGCGACAGGAACGTGTGAAACGGTTCTTAACGCGGTAAATACGTAGGTAGCGGCGATAAGGTACGAAGCAGGAGCATTTTTCAGCTTCTTATTTTCCTATGACCTTTCTTAATGCTTAATTCTTCATTTTTGTCGCCTTTGCGACTCTAAATCCTCTTACCGGTAGGGATCCTCTTTTCACGATGTTTATTTGGGCACTCCGCACATTAGGCGAGTAGTTATAGTAGTGTAATCGTTTCGGTATACTAAAATATGAAGCTTTTATGCCGAAAACAGATCGCTGATTTGCCGCAAGAGAGCTTTAAAGTTTACTGTTCACATACGCTCCCATAGTAAGAATGGCAAATTTTCTTCTAATGAGCTGTGGTTAATCGATACAGATATGGTATTTTTACACAACGTAGAATAATATTTTAATGAAGCTCCATATGTTACGATTCATAAACATGCTTTCGCCAAATCATAAAATCTGAATGAATCGAAGCGCCAAACACTAGCATTGAAATAGATTTTGGTTAACATTTTTGTTTTAGAAATAAATTTCTGTAAAATCATTTTACATTTAAACGCGAAATTAAAAGAAATTTTTGCAATAAGTGACTGATGTGTAGTTAAAAAAAAAATGTATTTGCCTTGTATGTGTATATTAGCTGGTGACTTATGTACAATGCGCAATTTGCAGAAGTCGGGTCGTACTATGATTAGGAGCGTAATGGGCGGAGCGCCATAGAATAGTAAAATGTGCTAATTTTTATTGAATTTATGTTACTCAATTACTGTTTTATTTCAAATTTATACACGTAATGTTTTTTTTTTGTTTAAACATATATTTAGAAAATATTTAAGCTTAAATATAATCAAAATATATTTTCGGTTAAACTGTTTTTATTTACATTTGTATGTAGTTCAAATTATGAGTGTAATTTTTAATCTTGATTACTGTAAATATTCATATAGCTAATACCAAAATATTTTATTTGAATTGCAATAAATGCCACGCATAATCCCCATTATGTTTGTGTTTTTCATTATGAATTCTTTGTTTTCTTATGATTTTTTTAAGCGGAAAACTATTGTACGTAAGTTTGTAGCTAGCTGTTTGTTTAAATTTATAATTATTTCTGTTGGTTTTTATTTGCAGTAAATGAGTATGGAGTGTCAAACCTTAATTTTCACACGAAAAATGTGCGCTACAATGGTTGTGTATACATTTTTTTCTCTAGAAAACATATATTTAACACACATATAACATAAATTTTACAAATAATATTTATATACATTTTATAATATATCTTACAGGTGGAAAACGGCGACCAGTTGGAAACCATAACCGTTTCTCCGGGCATGCAGCAGATGTTAATTCAAGGTGCGCCAGGTACCGAACCACAAGTGCTGCAAGTCGTAAGTCTCAAAGATGCAACACTCCTTACCAAAGCAATGGAAGCTATTACCGGGGGAAATGTTAAGGCTGAGGATACCATAATAATGGAGCAATAAGTTACTTACAACAGTAAAACACTTATACGCCAGGAGTAATTGTCATTTTACAATACATATGTTTATTTTTTTATAATACACCTGCGGTCTAAATAATAGCAGTGCGACATTTTTTTTTGTTTCTTTAATGTTCAATAATATTTTATAAAAGAATAGCTAATTATATAAAAGAAACCATATTCCTACCTAAATTTCAATCTTTGCAAACAAATTATTAAAATTTAACAAATTTTCACCAAAATTTCAAACTGTTCAGATTTTTTTAGATAAATATTAGGTATGCAGTTTATATGGAAGAAAATGCACAAAGTGTCAGCAAAAAAAATCAACTCGAATTTGTACTCAATTAAAAGTTGCACTACATGGTACTAATTTAATGGGCTATAAAACTGCGTAGCAAGAGTTATACAAAAAATTCTCATCAAGTTTGTAATTTTGGTGAAAATTTTGTTGAATTTTATTGATTTTTCTATAAAGTTTGGGATCTGGATTTATATGATTTTGTTGTATAATGAGATATAGTTTTAATAAAAAAATTATGAGAATTAAACAAAAAAAAAGTTTGACCTAAGCACAGATATAATTGTGACCGAAGGTGTACTTATGTATGTACATATCGATGATTCTCTGCATTAACGAGTGAATTAAAAACAAAAGCGCAACAAAACGATTTTTTAAAGTATATTTTTGATTTAGTTTTTTTTTTTGTAATTTACAAGCATGTATGTAAGTACATTTCATACTTCAAATATATATATTTTACGTGCAAATACTTACATATATACATAGCTGTATCGTATGGAATAATAGCTTATGTCGGGAAGCTGGCTTTGGTATAATGCGGCTTTCCCTTTATTCTTTAAATGACAAGGAATTTTTTGATGAGACTTAATAAGAATATTGACTTGCTAGTATCGGAACTATTTCTTGTACGCTTATTTGCCAAAAGATCTTCAACAGCACGGCGGCAGTGAGTCATTCGCAATCGTATGCTGCGAATGCCGCATTATACTACAGCCAGCCTTTCGACATAAGCTACTATTCCATACGAACACAGATACACATGTACATACATGCACATACATATATGTGTCAGGTCGCAGAAACACACTTTACTGATTTATTATATATTTTGTGAATTAGACAGACAAATAAAAAAAAAACTTTAAATAAATCGAAGTATATTTGACAAAAAAAACGAAGTGGCGCATTAGAACATTAAATTTTTCCAAAAACGCGGTAGATCTACGCTGCTCATGCCTCAAATCTTTGTCTAATTCTTACTAAAGTAAGATTACTAAAGTAATTAGTAGTAA